GAAGAACAAATCCAAGAATAAAAGATGCACCATCCATTACCATATTTTGCGTGCGAAAGAGAAAGAGGAGGCGGGGAGCAGTTTACCAAGCAACTCGAGGTAAAGCAGAGGCATAGTAGAGATTGAGAAGACAATTGTATTTCTCATAAGGAAGTTTACAATGTTGATGTTCTACAATGCTATATTTTTATACTGAGATTCGATTAAAATATGAAGTCATGATTGTGCTACAAGAATTCAACTCTGTTGATGATACAAGTTGTTATAAAGGTGTGGCATATATTTAACCTGGATTGAAATTGGCGAGTTCTGATGATACAGACTCAATTATAAGACCAAATTGAATACTTGAGTAAGAGTATTAAGAATGTTGAAATTGAAATATGTTCGATCTTTATTGCCAAAAGTGATTTAGGGAACCCCATATCAAAGTCTGCATTATGTAGGGTATATTGCATGTCAAGGGGGACACTTATTCTATTAAAAATGAGAGAATTGGCTTCTAAAAAAATTTCCTATAAAAAGAATAATATTAATCAAAACTTTTTCGCCTTAGATAGTTCGGTTACATAAAACATTGGTCTTCCCATGACCCTCTTAGGAGATAGATGTATTAGATCCAGCCATGTTAGAAAAGTTGAGGTAGACCTAAAAAAGTTGGTTAGAAAGTATTAAAAAGGACAATCTTTATTAGATTTAAATAAGAGTTTGAATCTTAAAAAGACAATGAAAAAAAATAACATATAACCAATCCCACATAGTAAGATAAGGGCTTGTTATTGTTTTTGTATCCCACCAAAGGAACAAGCAAAATAATATTCTCATAGATTTTTGAATAAAGATTTAGCTTGAAAAACCTCAAAGATCTATGATTGAACGAAACAAATCATATCAAGAAGAGCTATCTGTTGAAGAAAAAATCATGATTAGGTTTTATTTAATATTTATATTGTTCCTCCCAGAATCCCTCACTTGCAACCTTGCTCTCTCAGCGAGCCCACAATCCTATCTCACAAACATCCTTCCCGACCACAGTTCTTCATCACAACCATACCTTCATCGTTGTACTCCCTTATGGCTGTCAACACTTTGTGATAGCCTCTCGCAAAATCCTCTAATTCATGTCACTCAATCATCAACCATTGTGTCAACATTCTTGTCATCCTCACCACCACCCCCATCATTCCATTTACACTGTGAGAGACAAGTGTGTTTCCTGAAATGGGCCAATATCTAAGGGTGGGTTTGCAGTCTTGGTTGGAGTAGGAATATAGAGTAAAGTTGCTAACAATGATGGCTAAGCCATAAGATGTGGTGTTTTAAGATAGTTGTGTGTTTGAAGTAATCATTAGAGCAATTAAAGCTGTCAAAATCGGGGTCACAGGTCGGGCTTGCGTCAAACCCGATACTAGGTGACCTGACCCGTTTTTACAAACGGGTCAAATATTTCAACCCAGACACAACATGCGGACACGACAACAACAACGACAACGACAGCGGCTCAAAAATGCCTTCAATGGCACAACAACAATGGCAGAGGCACGCCAGCGGCAACGGCAACGCGATAGTGAGCAGCAGACGCGACGGGCACTTAGGCAGCAGATGCGGGCAGACGCAGGGGCAAACATGACGGGAAGATATGCGAGCAAACGCGGTGAGCTGGTCATTTCCGAATTTCTAGGTCAACCCGAACCCGACCCAATTTTTTAAACTGTCAATTTGTTGAACCCGAACACGACCCGTTTCACAAACGGGTTGACCCTAACCCGGAATTTTTGAGTCGGGTTCAAATTGAATTTTCCGATCATGTCAAATATTGACACACCTAAAGAGCAATTGAAAATGGCAGTTAAAATTTTGAAGCATGTATTAGATCATCTGATTAATCGCAAAGGAAATACCGTGTAATGACTCCCGCTGCAATAATTGGACTGCCTATAAATGATCTGATTGGATTTGCAAAGAATTGTTGATTCATAAAATGTCTCCTCAAATTTTGTAAATTTGTAAGAGGCATTTTTATGTCTATTTTAGTTTCCCAAGAATCAATGATTTGAATTAGAAAAAAAAAAAATTCAAGTAGAAATTCCTCCTTGGGGAGCTGCAGTGCTCTAAATTCAGCACTGCCCTTTCTGTTAGTAATGTCATTACACTAGGACTAAGCACCACATCACTGAAGTCTCTGATTGATGCATGAAATTTCTTCTTAGGAGCACTATGGCGCTGGGAAAGGTGGCACTATGACACTAGGTCTATAAATATCAAAAACCACTTGAAAAAAATTCATTTTCCTCATTTGAGGTAGCCAACTAGATAGAGTGGGGGAAAATTCTAGAAAGACAAAGTTGGATTTGGATGTCATGGGGCCGATTTCATCCGATGGGCCAGTTAGAAAAGTTGTTCGGCTCGAGATAGATTATCGTTACCCTAATTCAGTCTTCAATTTGGATCCTTCATGTGAGTCTTTTGATAATATATTTGATTAAATTTTATGCGAACTCAAATTTATGAAGATCGAAAAACTTTTCATTATGTAGTTCTTGATAAGATGTAGAATAGAATGTTCTGGTTATATTAACAGCAATACTCATATTGTCATCAAATATTTTTATATCTATGAAATTTTAAGTGTTCTAATGAGTATGTTGACTCGGATAGAAATTGCTACAAAATAATAGAATGTTATAAATTATTTTGTTTGATCTTCAAAACATAAGTGTAATGAATATTTTTTAAGTGTTTTAGTGCAATGAATGTTTTGTTTGATCTTCAAAACATGATATTTGTCGTATGATGCTAATTAAGTTTGGGAAATTTTTGGATATGTGCAAATCCAGTTGTTTTATACTTAATGTGCTTAAAATTTTTCCAGTGAGTGGTGAAATCTATTTTGGTGGCCCTAAACCTAGGATGAAGAACGAAAGGGTGAATCCCATCTTCTTGCCAACAAGAAAATTCAATCTTCTTGTTCCTTTATGAGACAGCTTGAAAGCATCATGAGGAATGTAAGTATAGGAATAACAAAGCGGCCGTAATGCAGAAGACATAGTAGAGATGGAGAAGACGAATTGTATCTCTCATACTGAAATTTACATACATGATATTCTACAATTCTATATTTTATATTGAGAGATGGTTAAAAAATATAATGATTATGCAGCAACAATCCAACAATGGTGATAGTATAAGTTGTTGTAAAGGTGTGGCAGAAGATTTAACTTGAATTAAAATTGGGGAGTTTTCATGATTCAGACTTAGTTATAAGACCAAATCAGAGACTTAAGCTGGATTGTAAAGAGTTTTGAAATTATGTTCAATCTTTATCATCAATATGATTGAGGGAACTCGATATCAAAGTCAGCGTCCTATAAGGGATATTGTTTATGTTCAGCAACTCCATTTTGTTTAGGGGTACAAGATTAGTTGAACTAATATGTTATTATCATGAGCAAGTACGTGATCAAGAATAGTGTTATTGATGTTTCATTTTGTTCACCGCAACCATCGATATGATCTCATTTGATGTGAGTAATGAATTAATTTTCGACCATGAGTTGATTGTAATTTTTTTATATTGTTTTTTTTTTTTAATTATTTTGTTAGCATGGGCTAAGTCAAACAAAAATGAAAGTAATCATTTATAAAGGAAGCATATAATATTTACATGCTTGAATGAGATTAATGGGGATGGAACTCATACATCTCAGAGTGAATTAATTCTAATGGTTGAGAAGTATAAGAGCTAGTAGCAAATGAAAATTTGCGACTTTACAAAATTTACATTTATTGCAAAAAGTAGAAGTAGAAGGTAAGCGAAGAGGATCGTATTATTTGAAGAGAATTGAAAGTATTAAGGCTTGAGGATGACCATGACGATGATGCCAGAGATAGTCGGTTATAGAGTTTGCCTGCAGTATGGATGGATTGTTCATAAGGAGATAAATCAAGTAGAAACCTTTATGATGGAACATTATTTGATTGGCCATCTAATCATGAATACAAAACCAATCGCACGAAAGATTTAGAGAAACTATTGTCAATTTTGCTAGTTTAGGAACCGTTAATAGGTTAAGCGATAGTTTTGGAACGTAAAAATTATGTGAAAAGAGCTTAACATGGCGTATAGGAATAATGGAGAAGCAATAAAGCAAGGACATAAAAGAGATGTACATGATGAATTGTATTTCTCACAATCAAGTTACTTACCTGATGTTCTATGGCGCCATACTTTTACCTGTGCAAAATAATGATTGTGTTACATGTATCCAACGATGGTTATGATGGAGCTATTATAAAGGTGCGGGAGGCAAATATTTATTTGTAGAGAGTACAAACTGCTACATGAGAGCTGCGGTCATTAAGCACAAAGCAATGAATCCTATCTTCTTGCTAACCCTAAACCTAGGGTGAAGAAAGAAAGCATGAATCCTATCTTCCCAATGCGTAATTTAATCTTCTTGTTCATCTAATCCTTCTGACATGACAGATTACAGCTTCAAGGTCAGAAACATTACAGCATTTCAATTTTTGATTGCTATCATTCGCAGAGATAGCACATAACAAAAGGTGTTTAAGTCTTTATAAGATGGATTCACAAGTTTTTAGCTGGAAGTATGAACACCAAAGTTTTTTGAAGTCCCCAAATTCTACCTGTAGATTAGAAGTGAACCTCTACAGTGGATAAGGAAGCGCATTAGCAAAGATGCAATAAAAAAACAATCATATTTGCATAAAAAAAAAACTTCTGGAAGATTTACAAAGGCCTGGTTCTAGGTAGCCTAGTGGTTATGAAGGCTTCTGAGCAAAATTCTCCTTAGTCTACATCTCTGCCTATTGAACAAGAGTTTAAGCAAAATTTTCTACAAAAAAATATATATATATTTAATAAGAATAAGTGTGGATTATGTAAATGAGGTGCATATGGAGTAAAACAACTAATAGAACAATACAAGTTGAAGAAAAAAGATGACGAACTAAGTTAGTGCTGAACTTCATTCACATGTTATAACATTCTATAGGTCCATGTAAATGGAAGTTCTAAATTAGAGTTAAGGGACAAAATGAGAAAGAGGAAGCATTAAAATACTAAAATGAGAAGGGAGACAAAAAAAAATCTCCGTGAAAAATCTAAATGTTTTTGAACAAAAAGAGCAAATGTAATGCAAATGATACCTACACATTTATAGTACAGGTGCACAGAAAAGAAAAGAAAAGAACCGAGAAATGCTGCTACACCAATTAAATGAGACAACTACCTTACCCACTTAAGTTCTCAGATTACTGTGCCCAAAAAGTAAAACTTCCTTTAGCATCCCATTATTGCACAATTGTAAACAAAAGAACCAGCTCGCTCTCTCACAGAAAGTACATCCCATTCTGCACCATTATTTCTGTCCTCCGGACACCAAGAATGCAGTACAATAACTTCACCTTGAGGCCCCCTATGTCCGCCTATCACCAATAGCCTTTCACCACATGACTTGAATGCAAGACCCCAACCATTATGTGAATCAGCTCTAACAGGTAAAGGCTTCACAACATTCCATGTATTATTTACTTTATCATATTTCTTAACTTCATTTGTAGATTGATCAGCAGCATAAAGCTGATTATTTACAACAGCAACTAGAGGTGGAGACTGGTGAGTCGCCCTGTTATCACCAGGATACATATTTGGAATCCTTCTCCAAGTCCTTGTCTGAATATTAAACTCCTCACCACATGTTAAGGAATCAGTATGGCTTGACATACCCCCTATAACATAAAATTTTCCATCCATGAAGAACCCAGAACACATTTTCCTAGGCAAGTTCATATCAGGTAAGGTTTCCCATCTACCTAGCTCTGAATCGTACAGCTCTGCAAATTTTAAAATTTGGCCATTCTTATCACTTCCACCAGCAACAATGGCAATTTTTCCAGAGCTGCCGGATCCAAACAGACAGCGTGGTAGATTCATGAGTGGGCACCGACACCAACCCCGCATTACTAAGCAAAACATCCAAATGGCAAAACCTGTCAATTCCCTCCCAAATACCAGAAGTTTAGTTCCCACAGCAAGAGACTCCTTATCTGCATAAGAGAAGCAGTCATCACAAGGCATTATTGGTAGCCTCATCCACCTCAGTCGAATGGGATCAAACGCCTCCCATGGCATTAAACTACAAGCTAAGTATACCCAATGCTCAATGATGCCAAGCTCTCTTCTCAACTTGTATAGATACCCACTACCAATTAATAAATTAAAGCTTTTATTTAGACAAGCAAGTGAAGAGTAGTCAGATCTAGAAGTCAAAGCCAAACATTCAAGAGCAACATCATCAGGAACGCCAGGAATAAGACAGTCATTAGTTCTTTGCCTACTGTAACCAATTCCAGGCTGTGTTCTAACTGTTATTTTTTTCTTTAGTAGTATTGTGCAGTCCTGATCAGAAATACTCAAGTAAATTCCAAATAGGTATATCTTCATCTCTATCAAAAGGCTCCAATTGTTGGCCAAAATCATGTACGCCAGTAAATGCTGCTTAAAAGAACTTGGTTCCTGCTCTAGGGAATTAAAAGACTGTTGAGGAAAAAATCTTTGAATAACAAACATTTTTTCAGGTTTAGTCGTTATCAAAGCCTTTTCTCCCGGTGGATTTTCAAAGGAATGCTTCAGAAGCAATAGAAGCTCTGCTAGCTTCGCTGACCTGCTATAGAAACAATATGAAACATTTACTAGTGCAGCAATAAAACTACACTGCATGCATCTGTTCACAGGTGCCAAGTAAAAACTTTGGTCAGCATATATGATTTATACATTTACTTGAGAAGAAAGCGGCACGCTGATTAAAACCCATAGCTTGTCATCACATTGACAAGAAAAAAAAGAGAGTTACCAGTTCATCATCATCATCACCATCAGTAGCCTATACGGGGAACGTTTCATTAATTTTTGGCATAAGTTTCAGGATTGATTGCCAATTTAACATCAACCTTAACTTCTATCATTAATCTAACTCAAAAATGGATCAGTTCTAAAACAAAATTAGGGGACAGCATTAATCCAGTAAAACCTAAAAACTAAGCCAAATCAATACAAAATTGATAGTTCAATTTAGTTATACATCTGTTGTTTCTGTTTTCTCTATGGATTTTTTATGGTTTCCATTTTGATTTGATTATGATTTTTATTTCACTAACATAACTGATTGATAAATTGAATCATCGAGTTTCGATTCTGTATATGACCAAAATCCAGAGAAATGTTTAGATTCTAGATTCTACAATCCAGTTCAGTTCAGTCCACAACCCAGAACACAACCATGGTTCAGAACTATGAAATTTAAGTTTAACAGAAACCAGATTAGACTGACCTGATAAATTTTAGTATGTTCAGTATCAGTTTTAAAACCAAGTTCGGTGAGTTCTATTTGATAATTGGCAAAAATGAAATTTGGTTTGGCTGATCAGGTAAATAAGCCTGCCACATAACCTTAAATCAAAAGATGCTTAAAAAAGGTAGGATGTGGCTAGTTCTCAATTTTAGAATGCAATTCGCCATTATTTTGTTTGAGAATTAACAAACCAAACCGTGTTGTATGTGTTGTTAGACCATTCGCTTGAACCAAATATCAAAATTCAAATCCTCAAGTCAACTACTCAAAGCATGCACCAACAATGGAAACAGGACTAAACCCAAAAAATTATAGCAATAAATGACAACCCATAGACTACTGAATAACCAACCTGCTAGATATCTTTGGAGAAAAACAATTTTAAGAGTGCTATGCACTCTCAATAAAAAATAATGGCACTATTAACGACAGAGCTATCATTATGTTAAAAGTCAAGCAAGTTGCATCAGTATCGTTTTAGTCAATCCATTGAACCAAACAACTAAAAGCATATGCTTTGAGTGTTTAGTTAGAAATAACTCAAATACAAAGCATATTTGTAGATGAATTGAAATCCCAAGAATGCATATTTTTAATGAATATGAAATTCACCAAGTAAATTCTAGGTGCAAAAAAAATTCATAGTACATGACCTCACCTTCCCCAACCATAGCAGCCACCCAATACCGCTCATCACCCGCTACCACTGTCTATTGATGTCCGTATTTAAGTGCATTTAAAATGTATCATAACAAATACAGAAAAATATATATTTTTTAATGCATTTGATTCGCATCCAACAAAACAACTCATCCATTTGTAAAATGCATGCATTCTAATTACTCTGCATTTTTAAAACACATCCGTTTTAAAAACATCCAACGAAATAGCCCTAAGAAAAAACAAAATAAATAAATAAAAGAATTTGACAATTGGAGGATTGTATGCAAGAACATCAAATAACATGTGTAGAAGTGGCAAATTAGTCAATTAAATCCTCTATCAAATTATCAAATCAATAAGAAAGGCATGACCGAGCAAGGACAAAGCCTTGATTAATTTCTTCCAAAGAAAATGGGGACTCTATGCCATCGCTCATTCCTCCTCTGCGCACTACTCTCAAGGATGATCTCTGAATAATAACATATGGCTTAGAAGCACAGGTACACATCCGTGTATAATACTTTTTCTCTTTTTAGAAGACCTAACACAATTGTGTAAAGGAATAAAACAGAAGAAATTGCTAAGAAGAAAATATATTTGGGTGTGTACAGCCTTAAAAAAAAAACGTATTGTACAAAACTTCGTTGCCTGAATCACTTTAAATATGTCAAATACCAAGTTTAAGTGAATTCTAAAATAATCAAAAAAATTTAGTTATATGGGATTTGATTCTACCATAGGATCTAAAGTTAATAAAAATATGTTTGGTTGAATTTTAAGATAAATCTTGCATTAAAAAGCCGCTTAAATTTTAAAATTGTCACAATAAAATTAGAGACTAAAGGGTTGTCTACTTGCAAGATTTAACAAAACTTTAGCAAGAATTCATGCAACATCTTGCAAAAAATTTGTTGAGCTAAATAAATATGTTTTAATTTTTCTTCTATTTTCAGCTAAATCCCAGATAAATAAATCTTGGGAGAAGTCCAATTTAAGGAAAGTACGGAGATGCTGAAAAATATAAAAACCTCTAATAAGAAGTTTGGAGCAATGAGAGGATGAAGGAGGGATAAGCACCCATGAGCAGCACTGCCTTGCACCATCTAATTAACTTTGGAAGGTTGCAAGGTATCTGCTCTAGAACTCATGATCGCCAAAATCCAAAAGGTTTATACACTGCCTACCTGGTTAATGTCGAGTAAATTCTTAAGACCAATCTTGTCTAGTATGGAAAAATAATAAATTCTTACGAATGTATCATTCTCATATTTCCTAGTCATTTGTTATTTTATTTCTGTAATTTGGACGACTTTCTAGGACAATTTGCCTTTTTCATTTCCTTTGACCTATCAATAAAGTTACGGGTATTCGCTTGAGTTATAAACATATAATTATATGTTTAGATGGTTTTTATATGACTTACATGATTTTGATGCTTTAGATTTCTAGATTTACATATATTTTTCAGGATTTAACACCACCGGGATTTACTAAATCTGAATTTACAGGATATAAAATCCTCCGAGATAAATCCTACTCGTAGCCAAACAGCCCCTAAACCATTTATATTGAAAGAATTACCAAAAATGAAAAAATGTTGAAGGCAGATAACATGATTTTACTTGACAAACAAAGCAAAAGAAGCATTGAAATCAAAACTAACAGAAAAGGTTACACCAACTAATTTAATGGGGGAAAAATCAATTAAACTACAGGTTTCAATGGCCACAGCTATTAGATGAAGACTTCTATCAACCTGAATTTTATTCATACCCCATGATAGCAGTTAGAAATGAACCAGATCGACCAAGAATCTCACCTCATCTCCCGCGTTTCATGCATCTCTCGATCCAACATTCCCGGGAATGCCTGACGGATCTAAGCCAACACTACTCCAGATCAAAGTAAGTTACTCGGAATCGAAAGAAGGAATGTTCTAAAAGTTCCCATTGCAACAAACGCCCCGCCATATTCCCGATTCCACCTTCTCACTTTTACCTACAGAAAACCGGCCGAAGTAAAACAAATCAGGAAAACAAGGAAACAAGTGCAAGATGGTTTCATTCTCGCAGATCTAGGTTTTAATAAAGAAGCTTTGAACCTTAACAAACCAATTAATGATAGAAACCAAAATGGAACTGCTATTTTCATAAGCACATAACTCACCGCCTTCAACAAAGGCCATAAGTAGCTAAGCTCGCTTCAATCGACCACCGACTATCCACAACTTCACCGGATCGTCAGGATCTTGTCAAAGAAACCTCCGTAAACACGGCTGAAATCGCCAGAAGAACACCGGAGTAAAGTCGGAAACCATCAAACTGCGGCGTTATGGTCAATAGCCATTGAAAAAAGAAAAATTTTAATTAAAAAAAATGGCGCTCTCCAATGCACAAACTACCAATCCCCTCTCGCTCCCAGCTGGGCGTTCACTACCCTCATTTTATAGCGGACCCCTTTACCGGCCAAACCCTCACCTCGGGGCAAAATCTAAATATGAAAATGGTTATAACTTGCAGAACAGTATCTTCGTCCAACTTGCACAAAAACGTTTTCTAACTAACAGTAAAATCAACCGTCAGATAGTTTCTCAGGTCATCAATTATCGTGCATGCCGATGTATTTTAGGGAGAGTGAGGCACTGCTCCGCACGTTCGGAGAAAAAGCCTTAATTACCATATTTTATTGTTTAAAATAGACCGATTTGGACTCATCACTGGACCACCGGCCTAATTTGCCAGTTTGCCAGCTGTTACTGATGGAGCCCACATTCCTGTGGATAATATCGTCTTTCGAGCGCCAATAGCGGCGTCCATTAGATTATTATTTATACATTTTAACACTAATTCCACCGCGCTTCAAACACTTAACCTACCCCACCGTACGCCACGTGGCATATTAAAAATTGTCTAGTTATGAACTTAGAAAAAATTAATTCTAAATATCTGTAGTGATACACTTCAAAATATTAAAAGTTAATACTTTTAATGTAATTTCTCTCTCAATGTCCCATAATAGCCAAAATAAATAAAATGTACATTATTTAATATTTTTAAGAAATATGCTCGAAATTTTATTTTGAACTAAATAAATTTTATTGTGAATTGATTATTGAATCCTGTCCTAAATAATTATTCATAATTGAAGATTAAAATGAATTTAGTTTTAAAACATTTAAATCAATTTTGAATATTTCAATGAAACTTATTACAGCAAGCGAAGTTGGCATCGTGGGACTGCGATGGTAGTTCATCGAGGGCTCACCTTTTTAGAGAAATTAAATAAAAAAATTAATTAATTATCTTTAATTTCCTTTCTTTTAGCCAATGTATCAAATTGACATTTATTGTGGTTGTTAATTCACTTTTCTTTTGATTTTTTTTTTCCATTTAGTCTATTTATTAAATTGACATTCTTTACATGTATTAATTCAATTTCCTTTTAATTTTCTTTCATTTAGTATATGTATAAAATTAACATTGGTGTTAATCATTTTTTTTTTCTTCACTATTTTGTATCTATAAATATTGTACCAAACTTACTATAGAAAATCATAGAGAATGATTCTTTCCCTTGAAATTATCTTTTGCTATATGGCGTCTGAGCAAAATTGTGAAACAGAGATAAGATTTCTTTTCATTGATGGAACACATAAAACTTTTTTTAACATGTAAGTTGTAGAAGGAGAGGATAAAGTGGTTGAACAAGTGATGGAAAGCCCTATGCCATCTCCAATGTTGATGCTTTCAGTAATGAGTTGCTCGGAGTGCATGGAGAGATTTTGAAGATCAGGGGTGTGTGGTGGGAAGCACCCAATAAGCCTTTCTATTAAGAATGTGCTAGAGGATATGAATATGAAGCTGTGCCATAAGCTCGGGGAGAGAATAATGCATCCAAATTAGGTTGTTGTTGAGATACTAGTGCACGCGGAAGTTGGAGCACCGTTGGGTGGAGTGACATTGTTGTCGACAAAGTTGACATTTTTCAATAGAAGAGCAAGCTTCAGAAGGTCGATTTTGGCTAATTTGATGAGATTGTTGGTGATTATTTAAAGTGGAGGAATTGCGAATTTTGTAGTTAGATAGGTTTTCAGGAAAGGGTTGGTTGGTGAATCTTTGAGTCAGATTGGCAGTGGTAATCATATGAGAGAGACATGCTTTCTTTCTTGCTTCAACTTTAAGGTGGGCTTCAAAATTTATGAGCTTTTCATGTAATTCTTCAAAAGTGATGGGGCTCTCTCATACATATATGGCCGAGCAGAGATCATTGTATTTGTCATCGAGACCGCCAATAATTTTTAATGTGAGGTCATATATCATCATCAATGGGGAAGCCAAGCATGGAAAGTTCATTCATAATAATTTTCATATGTTGCATGAACATAATGATGCTTCCATACCTTTGGTGAGAAGATGAATCTCTTCTTTTAGTTGAGTGAAACGCCCCCGAGATGTCTTGACGTAGGTATTGGCAAGAGTTTTCCATGCCTCTTGTTATGTGCGACATAAAGTAATAAAAGAGATTAGATTTGGAGGGATAAAGCCAGCAATGGCACTAAGAATGAGTTGGTCTTGACAAATTTGCTATGAATAGGCAAGATTTGGGGTGGAGCAATCACTAGTGCTTATATAAGAGTCACGGAGGGCATGGATAGGATCCATCAATAAAACCATGAGGTCATATCCAATGAGAGTTATATGAAATTGAAATTGCCATGGTGATTAGCTAGACATGGTCAGCTTGATTTGGGCATTGATGTTGATTGCAATAAGGGTTTGATGGGTTAAGAATAATATGACCATTGGGGTTGGACGAGACAGTTGAGGGGGAGCCATCCATGAGAGGAAGAAGAAGCTCATTTAGATCAGGACGCTCTAATACTATATACATAAAGATAATTTTTAGGGAAAGAATTATTTTTCTTGATTTTATATTACAAGCTTTGTACAATATTTTTAGATAAACTATTAAAGAAAAGGGAAAATGAATTAGCACTCACAATGAATGTTAATTTAATACATATACTAAATGAAAAGAAATTAGAAGAAAAGTGAATTAACAACTGTAATGAATGTCTCACTATATTATATCTCTATCTGATTTAAATATATCTAAACTTGTGTGTAATTTATGCTATTGCAATAAAGCTCACAAGTTACCTTTTACATCTTCATCTCTTATTATTTCATAGGCTTCAACTACTTTACTCAGATATATGAACTTCTCCTATTCTATCATATCATTGCTACAAATATTGTGTTATTTTTGTTAATCACTTTACATGATATATATGGCTTTATCTCTCAAGCGAAAATCTAAAGTTTGAGATGTTTTTATTCAGTTTAAAAAATTGGTGTAAAAATATTTTTAAAGTTCAATTATTTCCTTATACACTAACAATGGTGGAGAGTTTATCTCACTAAATATCTTTCTTACTTCACATGGTATATCTCACTTAATTATGTCTTCACATACTCAATAACATAATGGTCCTATCGTGTTGTTGTCTTTGGCACCTTGTCGAAATGACTCTTTCTTTAATACATAATGTCCATATTACCTTGACTTTTTTGCCACATGTATCTTATTAATCATATGCCCATAACTAAATTTTTCATGTAATCTCCATTAAAAAAATTATTCGGTCAACACCCTAATTACTCTAAGCTAAAAGTACTTGGTGCTTGTGTTACCCATTACTTCCACCCAATGGAAACTACAATCTTGATCCCCGCTCCAACCCTAGCGTATTTTTAGGCTACTCAGCCACTCAAAGTGCTTACCTATTATATGACTTCACCACTAACAAATTAGTCATATCTCGTAATGTAAATTTTTTTGAAACAATTTTCTCTTTCTTTGAAAAAAATTCTCTTATTCTTCTCTCTACTGAATTTTCATGGACCAATCAATCAAATATTTTGTCCAAAAACTAATCATCCACACGATTTTCCTCACAACATTTTCACCAAGAAATCCTCCAAACACCAACATTTTTGCCTTCTCCACACCCAAAATATCCAGCATTGCCTAATTTAGCTAATCACTCTAAATTTTTGTTCCCTATCAAAGCTCCTACCCATTTCAAAACTCAAAAATTCCATCCAAAAAAAGTCCATCAAATTAAACACATGTTGGCTCCCACAAATTCATAACATGCAATCCTCTTCTGCCATAACAGCCTTTGAACCAAGTCTTTTCAATAACTCAATAAACACCAAAAATCTAATCTCAACTTCATCAAAAATCAAATATTTTCAAACCAATAATGACAGCCATATAGTAACTCAAAATCTAGAAGTTGTGACCCCACCAATCCCATTAATACGCCTACACATAAATATAATCTTCAAGACCTATGCAATGACTCCACTACACCAAATAAAGAAAATAATATTCCTTCCTCTTCCCCCACACATCAATCCTAATCATTCCTAATTATAGTGAGCATAAATTCTCCTGCATCTCCCTCTCCTCATTAATTTCAACAACCAAATAATTTATGCATCCCTCACCAAAAACCATCAAACCAACTTGTCAACTTTAAAGAAAAATAAATTCAATTGATTACATTCCCCCAACTCCTCGAAACATATCACTACTTGCACCTCGCTATACCCTCTCCTCCCGTAACAAAGATCACATGCAAACTCGAGCAAAAAAATATATAGCATAAAAAAACCTCTCACTAAACTTAGCCTCAGAGCATTTTGTACATCCTCCTCAACCAATGAACTAACATCGACCGCTCAAGCCATGAAAACATCCTAAATGTCGTGCTGCCATGTATGAAGAATTCAACATGCTCCTTCAACTTGGAACCTCATCCCTCCTACACCTCAAAATCTTATTAGTTGCACGTGGGTGTTTCACATCAAACACAATCCCAATGGCTCCATTAATCGTTATAAAAATTTGTCTTATAGCACTGATATTGACTATCATGAAACATTCGGGCATGTAGTTAAACCAGCAGCAATTCAACTCATCTTCAGCCTAGTTCTCTCTAAAGGATAGTCAATCAAATATCTTGACATCAACAATGCCCTCCTTCATTGTCATCTCATTTAAAACGTCTACATGTGCCATCCACCAGACTTTCATCATCTAAAAAGTCCCACTTATACGTGCCACCTACAACAATATATGGTCTCAAACAAGCACCTCATGCATGGTACCAACAACTTCATTCCTTTCTCATATATATTGGCTTTGTTAATTCAAAGGCAGACACATTGCTGATCATTTACTCAGAAGCATGCCTAACACTATATCTCATGGTATATGTGGATGACAACATTAATTCTCACATGTAGTAATGATTATCTTCTTAAATATGTAACCAACCAACTTTCTACAAAATTTTCCATCAAATATCTTGGAGATCTCTCATGTTTTTTAGGTGTTGAAGTCATACCCTCCACTAAAGGTCATTTCCTATGCCAACACAAATACATTCAAGATCTTTTAA